CCACAGACTCCTCTAAATTCTTAATTTACAAACAGCAGTTGCACAAAATATATAATTATTTTCTTCCCATTAGTACTTTTCACTTCAAGAAATTGCCCTGTATGATTCACAGGTAAGTATGTTGTGAAAATAAGTAGTATGTTGTGACATCAGCAACTACTTACTAATTGCATATTGAGTCACTCACTTGAGTAAAATGTGTTGTTTCCTTCACTAACCTAACACAGAGAGCCAATAAGGTAAGGAAGTAACACATATTGTACTATACTGCCCGTATACTACTTAGTGTTCTAAATGATGAAGGGTCTGAGGTCAGACTCAAACCTGGGCCACTACATTCAACCATGTGGCATATGGTCATCTTGTCAAGTAGTGAGCTAAACCAGTGCCCTAATGTTATGAAATTTATCACAAATTTAGAGAATATAACAAATTTCTACTGATGACTTCATCTCATGAAATTGCTGATAGATGTCAATGTGTAGATCAGCTGAGCTGGTGATTAAATAGTAACCTTTCCTACTCAAAATGCTGTTAGAACAATTCTAATTTTATAACGTGCTGTCACAAGAAACTTAAAATGGGTGCCAGTTGGTCCACCGTGTCATTTGTTGTTTTTCCACATGTAAGGTAGTAATAAACAAACATACAAGAAACTTGTTTCCAAACACTGCCTCTAAAATATCTTCCACAATTTCTGTCCGAAGTCCACTCTCCCTGCCTGATCCAAATAAAACACAAAATTACAATATGTTGTTGACATTGTTTTCAATGTCTCTCCTTACAGAATGTTTAACCAATTAACCAATATGTGTAATTGTGGAGGCTTAATGAAAGTATCACACATTTTTTTTATAAGTTCCTATACAATGAAAATATGGCGTATTTAATTGACAGATACTAAAAAAAAATGCCAACTTAGTAAATCAAAAAGAAAACCTGCAATGTGAGCAGAGAATCTTAAGCTAACAATAACATATTTTTTTGGAGCACAATGGCTCAACACGTCCAGAATTTTGGACCAGGTATAACTAACAGAATTACTAAGATTTAAATGTAAAACATGTCAAACATTATAGATCACTCAATCTGAAGACATACCCTCTGCCGGCATTACTACAGTACCACCTGTGCTCCTCAGCACTCTGTACACCTGAAGAGAAAAGAAGGGGGGAAGTGTCCAAAAAAATCAAATCTACAATGTGTTAAAGAATCTTTAGTCAAGAACAGATTTGCCTTCCAAAGTGTGGTGTTAGACACCACTGTACCTCTGCTATTTAAAAAGCAGACTGTTAAGAGTTTGGGTCAAAACACTTTGTGTTTTAGTTCATAATGTTTTTCCCTTTTTTAAATTCAAACTAAGAAGATATGTAACTTTTTAGCTAATAAAAATATGATTTTCTTCTTTAGATTACAGTTGATCATGACAGATTAATCAATCACAATCAAACTGATATTTCAAAAGACAAAAATATTGATTTTACAGTAACTTTTTTGGAGAAGTTGTAAACAGATCACAGTTGTTGGGTTTTACAAACAGAACTGGAATGTATCCTAAACCAGTTGAGAGTGCTGATCATCACCACTCAGTTTTTCAAAATAAACCCTTACATTTGAGATTAAATTACTTTCTGTAGTGAAATATAATAAATAGGGATGGGTATCGTTTAGGTTTTATCCGATACCGGTGCCAAATCGGTACTTTTGAAACGGTGCCGGTGCTCAAACGGTGCTCAAACCGGTGCTTAAAGAATGGAGAACACAAAATTGGTCCAAAAACCTCTCATGTTTAGCTGGATTGTCTCTTTACACAGCCTGCACCTGGCTTGCCTGGTGTGATAGACCCCAGCCTCAATGGATCTTGTGCTCAGCGCTTGTTCTTGTGCTGCCATGATTAGTGCCTCTGTGCTGTCTTTAAGTCCAGCTTTGTCCAGCCACTGGTAGGATTTCTGGATATCAGCCACCTTCTCTATCTGCCGGTGGTACATACCGTGCAGGGGCCTGTCCTTCCATGATGGGTCCTCGCCTTCCTCCGAGGAACCATATATATATATATACATATACAGACATGTACATGTCAATATTAAAGTGATAATCCGGTTTCCTTCATTTGTGCAGTTGTTATAGTAACATATTTTAAATGTTACATGTTCCCCTAATGACATGCTTCTTCCTGTTGTCTAAAACTTTTTTGGATTAACATGTTCATATGTACTGGGTTTAAATGAACTTCAAACTGTAATTCACTTAACATGTTTTTACACATAATGAAAGGACAGAGGGTGTTTGTGTGTTGTGCAGACAAAATTTGTTATGTGTTATAATTTAGAACAATTTGAGAAGACATTTAGGAAAGTCACATCCTGGCAGTACATTTTCTTAAAGCAAATTAGAGCTGCAAGACAACTGTGAGTCTTCATAATTACAAGTGCACATTAAGGTGTCTAATGCTGGCAATGAATACACATGTTCTTTTTAAAACCACATGCCATGTGTGAAAACAGCTGTCATGCACTACACTGACACCACTCGCACCATTTTTCATAGAGTTCTTCCTCTTGTCGTTGAAATGAGCATGACAGATGCAGCAAAAGTAAGAGGCCTCTAAAACACACAAAAAGTGTGGTTGTTGGATCAGAATATTAGATGTAATGTACATAATAGATGGATAATACACTACTTTATCTGAAGACGTACCATCTGTAGCTGCTAGCACTGCCTCAATTCTGCATGTTTCCACAGACTCCTCTGGGCTCTGTGCACATAAAAAGGTCACAGGCTAGCAGCACATGTAGTTGGGAAAATTCTTAATTTACAAACACCGCTGCACAAAAATGCAATTATTCTCCTCCCATTACTCCTTCTCACTTCAAGAAATTGTCAAAATAAGTCGTATGTTGTGACATCAGTGTTGGAAGTTTTTATTTAATAAAGCCTGCAGACAAACGGTGAGCGGCAGCTAACATCCCTTAACCAAAAAAGAACAAAAACCCAAGCTTGGTGGGAGCAGCCATCGCACAGGGCAAATGATCAGCAGTCTCTCCTGAACCCAGAAGCCTGGAGTTACATACCTCTTACAGGAACTAAAGGCAGTACACAGCTGTTTTCACACCTTTGGTACCCCCACCCCCAAAGAAAGTTTCACACTCCCTTGCTACCTCTTACAGTGGAGAAGGAGACAAAAGACTCCTCCCCCCACTCTGGGTCCTTTGTGTGTGAATGCTTCCCTCAAACCTCCTGAGATACCATCTGTTACCAGTATGAGGCTACGTCCACACTAATGCGTTTTCAAACGAAAAACAATCTATCCAGCTGGTGTGGACGTAGCCTGATTGTGTGAGACACTGAGACATGATAAAAACCAGCAGCACCAGAGCATTATACAATAAATAATGTGAATAACACATAAATAAAATGAATTCCTTTTACATCAACAACAATAACATATTTTTGTTGCAGCACAATGGCTCTAACATCAACACATCCAAAATGATGTACCCAGGTATACCTAACAGAATTACTAAGATTGTCTTTCAGTCTTTCAGCTCCCACTATGGTCTCACATGAACTCGCACAGCACGTATCTGGGCCAGCTGGAGGCTCAGACGAACCCAGCCAGCAGTTTTTATTGTGAGCTGGGGGTTGACAATGAAATTTAGGTCATCCTTCCTTTGCTCCTAGCTCCAAGCTGGCTGTGACAAGTCTAGGTTTTGGCATGGAGCAGAATATAACCAAGAACAATCATAGCAGTGGCGGCTGGCCCATAGGGGGCGCTCGGGCTCCGCCCCCCCAAATGTGGAGGAGTAAAAATATATATTTTTAAAAAATTCATCAATGATAGTTTTACTATGTGTGTGCCCATATACAGCCAGGCGTATTTTAACATTTTCACCAGCTGACTCATTAAAGTTCAACCAACAAACGGTGTTTTTCTTCTTCTGGGGCGCTCGTCAAAGCGCCCTTGATATGCAGCGAAATAGCCTATCATTAAATGGTTGCCAGGGGAAAATAATAAATATTTGACCTATCAGCGTCGCTGAATTAAATGGTTTGGGGGCGCTTAAAATTGCGCCCCTGCAGAAAACGCGCGAAGATTTGCTGTTCTAGAATTTTACCTCAGTCAGTAGCCTAAGTGAGCTATAAGGTCAGAGAGAGACGATGGCAGCGGTATTGTTAACGGTTGAGGCACAGCCTCCCCCAAATTCGGTTAGATCGCTTCTAACCTACCCTTTTGCCAGAAGGACAATGGCAGAAAAACTGCAAGTTAAAGAGTTGGGACCTGACAAGCCCGAAATTCAACTAACCCAGGCAACGAAGGAGAAGTCAAAAGCATACAACAGGACTTTTTGTCGGAGTTGGTTCCAGCGCAAGTCGTGGCTGACAGGCTGTGGAACAGCTAATGCACTTTTTTGTTTCCCGTGCATACTGTTCAAAAGTGACAAGTGTGATTTGACGTGGACACAATCTGGACAAACCGACTTAAAGCACCTCTAATTAAAGTAAGTAAGTAATTAAATTTGTATATCAGAATTAAACTTCATCATTCTGGTTTGTGTAAAGCCAAGATGCACAGACCACACTAGGTCAAGCCAAGCTTTCTGTTGTGTGTTGCCATCTAGTGGGCATGAGGTATCACTGTATGAGTTAATCACCTAGCAACAAATTAAAATTGTGTTGTTTGATGTACTCATTAAATGGGTCATTTTAGTCGATATCATAAAAATTGCCCCCCCTGAGATTTTTTTCAGGAGCCGCCACTGTCATAGAGGCTCTGAGTAAAGCGTTGATATAGGGATGCACCGATACGTATCGGTATCGGCCTCGATACCACATTTTCTAAAGTACTCGTACTCGTTAAAAGTCCCCCGATACCGAGGACCGATACCACGGTCTGAGACCTGTCTATGTTTGAGCGGCATGTAAGGGGTTAATCACAGGCGCCGAGTGCCCGCCCCCAGGCCCCGAGTGCCCGCCCCCAGGCCCCGGCTGCAGCTCAGAGCTGGGAGAAGGCGAGGCGAGACATATCAGCCGTGTGGAACTATTTCAAAGTGAACGAAGACGCGAAAACAAAGGCGGACTGCAAATTGTGCTCAGCGAAATTGTCCAGAGGAGGCTCAAAAGGTAGCGCATTTAACACAAGTAATTTAATCAAGCACCTAAAATCCCAACACGACAACGAGTACAAAGAGTTTACCCACGCTTATTTACCCATGCTTATTAGCACATAGCTGATGCAGTGGGACGGAAAATAGTTGGGCATTTTAAACATTCCACCTTAGCCTACTCCCGCCTCGAGGACATTCAGGGACAGCTCAACCAGCCAATAAAGAGACTGCAGCAGGACGTACAGACGCGCTGGAACAGCACGTATTACATGCTCCAGTCCCTCATTGAGCAAAAGCGAGTGCTGGGCGTGTATGTGTCCGAGCATGAACTCCCTGACTATCTCACCGCTCACCAATGGGCTCTTATGGAGACGACTGTTGCCATCCTCGCCCCCTTTGAGGAACTAACTAAAAAAGTGAGCAGCTACGACGCACTAGCCTCTGATGTCATCCCAGCTGTGACTGTGCTAGTGAGACTTCTAAACAGAGAAACAGACGAGGACCACGGCGTCAAGACAATGAAAGCAACCTTACTGGCAGCTGTCAAGAAGCGCTTCAGTGACGTCGAGACCAACCCACTGTACTTCATCTCCACCATACTTGACCCAAGGTAAAGTCTGTGTGCTATAGGTATTCAATGAGTATAGCTACAGTACTAAATGTAAGATTATTTTACATCTGAAATATTATATATTTGTAACTAAAATACACAAATACAAATGTATGCAATATATATAATATGAAATACATTTCCCTTATTACTACCAGAAAGTCAAATGGCTGGCATTTGTCACAGTGGTTTAGGGGAAACTAAAATCAGTCCTATTTTTCCACATATTAATACATTTATGAATTTTGTGCAGGTATAAAGATCGCTTCTTCTCCAACAACACTGCTCCAGAGGCCAAGCTGCACCTGAAGCAGGAGCGATGATGTCTAGAGCTGAGGCAGAGGGGAGTCGGGCAGAAGCTGCAGAACCTCCTGCTAAACTGTTCCTCAAGGCCCAGGCTGCCGCTGGCAGCAGGTGCTGCCATTGAGCTCGACACATACCTCGGAGAGGCCCCAAGCCCTCGTGAAGACAGTCCTCTGAAGTACTGGGGTGTCAACAAAATCAGGTTCCCCACTTTGGCTAAAATAGCCCGTAAATACTCTCAGCCCCATGTAGCAGTGTGGAAAGTGAAAGGCTTTTTAGCTCAGTGTCACACATTATAGATGAAAACAGAAACAGTCTGACTGCTGATAATGCAGAAAAGCTACTTTTCTTAAAAAAAAACCTGCCACTCACTTTTTCTCTCCATTAAGTGAGTCATCTTAGACTTGATGTTAATACCTACCTCAGTTGCACTGACTGCCACAGTTCTATGTCGGTGGATGTTGTTAGTTTATTCAAATATTGTGCACTAAATAGCAAAGATGTTTATTAATGCCCCTTGTGTTGTCCAAAGCGGCAGAGTTTACAATAAACTGAAAACAATACTTGAGTTGCACTGTCACTGTTTAATTTTTATAATTATTTATTCTGTAATATGTTGCATACAACATGCTTTTATTTTAAATAAATGTTCTTAATTCCAAACCAGTCCCTTGTTTGTTTGTTGTTAAATTATAGGACTAAAGCTGTTACCTGTAAATTTAAATCATGTTTTTATTAAGTACTCGGTATCGGCGAGTACTGAAATGCAAGTACTCGTACTCGTTTCCAAAAAAGTGGTATCGGTGCATCCATCCCTATAGTGGCATGCACACTTGTGGTTTGTATGTTGAGACTTAGGCTACGTTCACACTGCAGGTGTTAATGCTCAATTCCTTTTTTTTTGACCAAATTCGATTTTTTTTGTCTGCTTGTTCACACTACAAATAGAATGTGACAGCAAACGCGCTCTAGTGTGAACCCTCAAAGCAGCCCGCAGAAGACGTCACACACAACGCGCTCTGTTTAGACCCAGACCAAACACTATTGTTTGACTGATGGCCCTTAATATAAAGACTTGTTTCAGACTTTACATTTCCCAATTTTGCTTTAAGTTATAAAGTTATTTTGTTATTTACATATGGCCTAATAATGATCCTTATTGCTGTTTAGAGAGGAGCACAATTCCAGTTTCCAACAATGGCGGCAGCTACTTAGTTTTAATATTACTCTTATTTCTCTTTCTGGGTCGCAAAAAAACTTTTAACATATTTTCAGGTGAGAATGTAGCTGTGTAAACTTCAAATATCTGAGCCAACCGACACATCGTCTTCAAACCCCCGCGGTCTTTCACTACTCGGGTTAAACATGATATATAAGTCACTTTGATAACTTAAAAATGTTATTGTTTGGCTTTTTCAGTGTTTTATTTGTTCGTGAGTAAATCGGTTTGGCTGAGATTAAAGTTATTAGATTAGATTAAATTTAACTTTATTAATCCCTCGGGAGGGTTCCTCCGGGGTTTTCACACAGCTGAATAAACGTCAAACAGAAAACTAATTAAACAAAGTGTGAGACGGTCGAGAGTTTACGCCAGCGCCCGGTTATATTTTGAAGCATTAAAAAGTACAACAAAATAGAATTAAAAGAGACAAATAAACAAAGTGTGAGACGGTCGAGAGTTTAAGTCAGCGCCCAGTTATATTTTAGATAGCAAGGAGCAGACGGCAGAGTTTCACTCCACCGAGGGAGCTCATGACGTACTACCCGGCTTTCTTTAGACCGCGAAGGCCGGGTCCTCAGGTGGAAGCAGCCTCTGAATTTGGACACCCCCGCTGTTTCCGGGCCGGCCAATAATAACGGTGACATTTAACGTATTTTATCCGATAAATAAACACTGTAAAATGTATTTATCACCCCCCCCAACAGCCCTTTTGAATGTCTCCCTAATTCTGAGGTCTCAAGGTTGGCAAGTATGGCCACAACACCTCACTTTTTTGCCACATGTATCGCAAACCACGTCTCAGCTGTTTGTGGAGGTAAAATACGTCCGCACAATTACGCTCAGCCATTGTTGTGAGTGCGCACGCCAAGGGGCTGCGAGACATTTATACAGCCGTATTTCGCACATGACTATGAAAGGCGGAAGAGGAAGTAGTTCCTTTGAATGTAGACAATCCGAATGTTATAGTTTCTTTCCACTGTGTTCCTGTTAATGATAAACTACAAATTTACCTAAATTACTAAAATATCGATATTTTAATGTGAGAATCGATTCTAGAACATAAATGATTGGTATCGGAGGAATCGATATTTCAGGATCGATCCGCACATCACTAATAAACAGAAGTCCTTCGTGTTCTGCCTTTTGTTCTCGTTCATAGAAGTTATGACGTGAAGAAAACGAGCGCTGAAATCTTTGACAGATAGTTAAGAACGTATATTGTTACGCTGCTGTTTTTGATTTAGTTAAGAGTACAGATCATATACTTTGGATCAAAACCAATCCT